ACCTCTTTCTTTTATCAAGACCACAATGCTATCGCTCTTCCAAATTTTGTTTTCATCTTCCTCCCAAATTCCAAACACTATCCCACATGTTTGTCCCCTTTCTTGCATCGTACCAGTTTTTAAAATCATCGTGGCCTCCTGCTCTCACACCTCCTTTTCCAGGACTTTAAGGTGGTGAAACTCTTCATTTCTGTTTCTCTTTCCCTTCCTTCGACAATTGACAGCTTTGGTTAAGCTTGGTTTCACCTACTCACTATAATTTATCTCACCCTCTCAAGTCTGGTGCTGCCCTGCACTACACTGGCTGGTCATGTAGGTTTCCCATGACTCTATCCTGGAGCATCCTTCTAGTTTCTTACATTGCAATGCAGAAAGGCAGCCTGTGCTACAATGGGACTATATTGCAACGTATGTTGATAGGAATCATTAATAACTAAGTTACAAATAAAAACTGCTTCAAAAACTCCAACTTACAATAGCAACTGGAAACACATTGTGGAGACCCATGAGAACTCTGTTCCAGCTTGATACGTATCCCAATCAGAAGTTTTGGAATGTTGTAAGGCTGGCATTGTGGAAGGAGGAGATCCAGAGGCCTTTTTCATCTGAACTGAAAGGACCATTGGTGACATGAATACTGTAACTGCAGCATGCTGGTGATGCGCCAGAACCCAGACTCTTTACCTCTGGAGCTCCTTGAGAGAGAACGCTATCTTCACATTGTGTCCCAGGAAATAAAGTGCTGCTGTGATGTCAGCCCATTGGACCAGCTCTCCAAGGGGTCCCTCTCGGCCCACCAAAGAATTGATCATCTCGCCGGCTGTCTCGCTCATCACACCAGGGTACAATAGGATCTAGAATGAAAGCAAAACAAATTTACTGAGCTCAGTCACCATCAGTGATGCCCTATGAGGAGGTTACTTCCATCTATTGGTGGTTGTGCTCTGGCTGAGTTACAAAGCTCTTCTGCTGAATCTTGGAAGCGCTCCGGGATGCTACCCTGTGTGAAGGGTGCAATATAAATGCAAATTGTTGTTGTGGAATCAAATTATTCTCCTTTGATGCTTAACTGGTTAATAATTATTTCTCTCACACAGATGTTTGAGCAGCTCACATGTTACCTCCGACCCAACACAAAACAACACCCTAAAAACTTCCAGAAGAAGTTTCAGAAAGATGCAAAACCAAAAGAGTAGTGATAATGGGGGACTTCAATTATCCTAACATAGGCTGGCAAAATAACAGGATAAAGGGCAAGGAGGGGGAAGGATTCCTGAAATGTGTGCAGGATATCTTTCTGGATCACTATGTTTCCAGCCCAACGAGGAAGGAGTACTGGATCTAGTTCTAGGGAATGAAGTGGGGCAAGTGGAGCAGGTTCCAGTAGGAGAGGAGGGACAAGGAACAATCAAAGGTAAAGATATTCAACTGAAAGAAGACTAATTTCAGTGAATTAAAAAGGGATCTAGCCAAGGTGGACTGGAAAGAAAGATTGGCAGGTAAAACAGCTAATGAACAATGGGAAGCCTTCAAGGAGGAGATAGTTCGGGGACAGAACAAATACAATCCCACAAAGGGGAAAGGTAGGATATCCAAACTTCTCTGGGTGAACAAGGAAATTGGGATTAAAATAAAACAGAAAAAGTAGGCTTATGATAAATGTCAGGTCCAAAATACAGAAGATAATCAAATAGAATATAGAAAGTACAGAGGAGAACTGAAAAAGGAAATAAGAGGGGCAAAGAGATTGTATGAGAAAAAATTAGCAGGTAACATAAAAGGGAACCTTAAGGTATCTTTATAAGCATATAAAGAATAAAAGGTTAGTCAAAGGTAGGGTGGGTCCAATTAGGGATCAAAGAAGAAATCTTCTTATGGCTCATGTACTGAATGAGTACTTTGCATCTGTCTTCTTAAAGAAGAAGAGGATGCAGCCAATGTGTTGGAGGAGAGGGGAGAGAAATTGGATAAGATAAGAATAAACCATGAGGAGGTACTAAAAAGGTTGTCGGTGCTCAAGGTAGATAAGTCACGCGGTCTGGACGGGATGCATCCTAGGTTACTGAGGGAAGTTAGGGTGGAAATAATGGAGGCTGTGGTCACAACCTTTCAACCCTCCTTGGACACCGGGGTGGTGCCAGAGGACTGGAGGGTTGCAAATGTTATTCCCCTGTACAAAAAGGGGCTGAAAGATAAACCCAGGAACTACAGACCAGTCAGCCTAACGTCAGTAGTGGGGAAACTTCTAAAGACTATAATCCGGACCAAAATAAATTTTCACTTAGAAAAATATGGGTTAATAAAGGACAGCCAACACGGATTTGTTAAAGGCAAATCATGTCTAACAAATCTAATAGTTTTTTGATGAAGTTACAGAGAGGGTGGATGCAGTTGATGTAGTTTATATGGATTTTCAAAAGGCTTTTGATAAAGTGTCACATAAGAGACTTGTAAGCAAAATGGAAGCTCATGGTATTAAAGGGCCAGTGGCAGCATAGATACAGAACTGGCTGGGAGACAGAAAGCAGAGAATGGTGGTGAACGGTTATTTTTCTGACTGGAGGAAAGTGTGTAGTGGTGTCCCCGAGAGGTTAGTATTGGGACCACTGCTGTTTTTGATCTGTGGAGAAATACAAAGTGATGTATTTTGGGAGGAAGAATGAGGAGAGGCAATATTAGCGGATGGTACAATCTTAAAGTGGGTGAAGGAACAAAAAGACCTGGGAGTTCATACAAGTCTTTGAAGATGGCAGGACAGGTAGATAAATAAAAATAACATATGGGACACTAGGCTTTATAAATAGGGGCATAGAATACAAAAGTCAGGAAGTTATGATGAACCTTTATAAAACACTGGTTAGGCCTCAGCTAGAGACTGTGTTCAGTTCTGAGCTTTGGAGAGGGTGCAAAGGAGATTTACCAGGATGGTACAAGGAATGAGGAGAGGCTGGAGAAGCCAGGATTATTCTCCTTGGAGCAGAGAAGGTTAAGAGGAGACTTAATAGAAGTTTTCAAAGTTATGAGGGGATTCGATAGGGTGAAGAAGGAGAAACTATTTCCACTGGGGGGTGGGTCGGTAACCCGAGGACACCGATTTAAAATAGTTGTTAAAAGAAACAGAGGGGAGGTGAGGAGAAATTTTTTTACACAGCCAGTTGTTCAGATGTGGAATGCATTGCCTGAAAGGGTGGTGGAAGCCGATTCAACAACAATTTTTAAGAAGGAAGTGGATAATTATTTGGGGAGGACATGTTTGCAGGGTTATGGGGAGAGAGTGGGGAGTGGGATTGACTTGGATAGAATTTTCAAAACCGCCACAGACACAATGGGCCGAATGGCCTCCTTCTGTGCTATATAATTCTATCATAAGTTGTGGTGATCATCCGGGATGTATTCAACAAGGAATGGGTAATCTCCATTACTTTCCCTAAATGTCCACCTTTCATGTATGAACTCCGACAGGAAATACGAGCAGGATGCTAAAGTGGGAGAGGTGGCAAAGAGGGGAGAAAGACATCACAGTTATTTGAGTCCACAACCAATATTCACACCTGCAGAGTCCTCGGATACCAAGGAACAGGGAGTCTTGTTGCATATTGTCTTCTCTATTTTTTATATTTAAATTCCTGGTTATAGTCTGCAATGTTCTTTACAAACAAACCTTTACAATGTTCACCAAATATAAATTTCCAAAGAAAAACATATGATCATATATATATATACACACACACGAAATATAGGCATTTTATCTTAATATAAAATGTAGTAACAGGAGAAACCATTGGCTTCTTCAACCTTCTCTGTCATATCATTGTTTCATGGTAGCTCTTTATCTTTGTAATCACACTTCCCCATCTTTTCCCAATATTTCTAATACCTTTATTCCCTAAGCAACTCTCCATGTTCCTCTAGAAACCTCAATGAATTCTGTATCTATGGACTTCTGAGGCAGTACATTCTACATTCCCATAACTCATTGTGTGAAGAAATGTTTTCTGGACTCATGTTAGGCTAACACTCCTTTAATTGTATTGCACTTTACCTTCTTTTGATGTTGTGGAGTCCTGCAGCTCAGTGGTTAGAGCACTCGCTTTGCAAGCAAGAGACTTGGATTCGATTCCCAGCAGGGTAAAACCTTGGGCAAGTTTCCTTACTCCACATGCCTGATAATCCCTCAAACAAAAAAAATTAGTCATTTCAATCCACGACTGTTTGTGGGGACACCGCTGTGCGCAATTGGCTGCTGCATTTCACCCACAAATATACAGTCAATTCACTTTACAGTATATTCTGTGAAGCACTTTGAGATGTTTCGAAGACGTGATAAGGCGCTATATCAAATGCAAGGGTGTTTATTATATTATTATTGCAGTATCATGAAAGAGCAGAGAATTGAGATTAGGATAGATGGCTTAATTGGAGGAGCAAACACCAACATTAATAGAATGGGTTGAAGGGCCTCTTCCTGTGTTGTAGATTTCTATGGTCCCAAATGATTCCGAATTCAACAACAATGCCTAAGTTTGTTTTCTTCCTCACTAATATGGGCAATTTCCATTAAGTGAATAGTGATTTGCTAAAGTAGAATAGTGCCACAACAACTAAAATTCATTAAAACCAGAGATTCAGGAAGTTCGTTTTCAGATACACCAGCGCAGTGGGACAAGAGGGCACACATTCAGGGTAAATTTACAACAACAACTTGCAACGTGGTAGTGTCCTGGAGTGCTTGATAATGGTGGAGTCTGACCCCGAGCCCGGGGAAGAGGCAGGTGAGAGGTGACCGTAAGCACGAGTAAAAAGCAAGATTTACAACAGTTTGTATGACACATAAAAGTAACATGTTACTGTGGCTGTAGGGGTGGGGGTGCACAGGAGGGCATCATCCCTGGGGCTGTGGGAGATGTGGTGAGTGTACAGACTGAGGATGGTGTGGTGGGCTTGGAGATGCTGGGTGTGTGGGGGCTGGGTGTTGGAGGTTGATCAGGGCGTTTGGATTTCAGGCTCAAGGTGGCTCACTTACCACGGGTTTTTCCTCTCCCTTTGGTCGGGCAGACCCTGCGGTGCTGTTGCTCCAGACCAACATAGGACAGAAGTGCTCCATCTCACTGAGGTAAATGAGGATGGAGCAGGTGCTGCCATCCACACCGTAAAAACTGTAACAAGGATCCGACTGCCAGTGGGCACACATCCACTGCTCATCACCCGTCAGGTAGAGACACCAAAAGAGAGAAACAAAGATACACCATTATCTCAGACTTGCCAAGCCCCCAGTAACAGGTCATCATCGCCAACGTTCAGTGTAAGTTAAGAGTTACTTGAAAGAAACTGACTATCACACTGAGGTCAGGCTGCGGAGGCTGAGAACACTTGCACTCACTTATACAGTGCAATTTTTCATTCATAATGTGAGAGCCTCCATTAGATCCACTTTTAAAACTTATCTACTTCACAGTCTCAGCTTTCCACCTCCTGCCACACAACTTAACCTCCAGTCTCTGGCAGCATCTGCATGAATCACCACATGCAACCTTTCCATGGCTGTAATGTGCTTGCTGTAAAAGAACATCCAAAAAGGGCTTGTAATACTCCAAATGCATCCCAACCTATATCATATACAAATTTAACAATACCTCCTTATTATATATTATTCTTATTATATATAAAATCTAGACTCTAATGCAATCAAAAAGGTGCTGGGTATGTGGAATAATCTACCAAAATACCAATACCTAAACAATTGGTAGTGGAACAAGAAATGATAAAGGGTTTCGAAAAGGACCTAGAACTGATATTCCTGAAATTAAAAAGGATTATTAGTGATGCAATACACCAGTCCGAGGAATCTTCGAGAAGTTGGATGAGTCGCTGAATGGACAGATGGTCCAGTCCTGCCTGAAACTGGTACTGTGTGACTGGATTATGTTACTCCTTTTGCCATCAGAGATTACCAGCAAGATTTATGGTATAGTGACTGACAGACAATCCTCATGTTTCACATGGGAGCTTTAAATGTGAAAAGAATAAATCAGAATAGCCATTATATATATAGTTATGTATAAATAAAACATGTATAAGATTGTCTCTCTGCTGAAATTATTATAAAGGATGAAGCTCAACAGCAACTGATGAGAACAAAAGAAGTGGACCCAGGCTAACATGGGGGCTATGAGCCAAAGCAATGCAGTAGCATTATTTGGAGGAGCATAGTTAGTAGATAATCATAAACTTTAGTTGCTATCCTTTATGCAGTGTTTCAGAACAAATCTTACCAAGAAACTCATTACTAAAGTAAAAACTCAGGGGGACAAAAAGGACAGCTGCGAACTGCATTATTAATGTGCATCCTAATAGGAAACAGGGAGAATTATCCATGGCAAGAGTTCTAATGGACAACTACATTTAGCAATCCCCAGAGGGTCCTGTCCTGGGAGCCCAAAAATTCATAATATTTATTAAATAAATACGCAAAGGAAGGCATACAAAAAAATTACTATTTGTGAGTCACCCTCACGTGCCTGGCAGCTCGTTGAGGTTTCACTAATTTAATCTTTATTTTGGCAAGTCGTGTTAGCTCTTAAGATACAAATAGCCACCATGTGTATCCACGTTTTAGGTTAGGGTTGGGTATAAATCACAGATACAGAGACACACACACACACACACACAGAGAGCGACAGAGAGAGACATACGCAGCACTTGTGGCACCAACCATAGCACAAGTTAATGGCACCCAATTCCTTGGGACTATTGAAAGTTCCTCCAACTCATTACTCTATGAAGAGTTGTTACAGAAGATGAGTCTGTCCTTGATTAGATAACACATTAGTTAAAGGAACTAATTCAAGAAAATACCAGTTTGCAAGTTTGAACACTAGCCTGCACTGACTTAGCTGATCTCAGTCAGTGAGGTTAGGGTGGAGAGAAATCAGCTGCATTTCCCATTCCTGGTGGCTGACCAGCAATCCATGCTTACAGAACCCTGTAAAATAATAATTAGAAGTGGGGACACACATCACATACCTCTGCTTTGCAGTAAGGAAAGGCTGAGTCATTGGGAATTTCACAATATACTGGTCTCTGCTGGTCTAAGCATAACAGGGAAAAAAAAGATTTCAATCAATACCTGCGTATGTACATAAATTCTTATTGCAGTTTAGATCACTTCGCAGAGGTAGAACTAAGTGGTTTTGAGTAATGGTTCAACCAGACCAATAATAGTGCCATGTTGTACTTTTCTTAGGATATTTTAAAGTTCCCAAAATCCGTAGCTTCTGCAGGAGGTGAACATTTTGTGCATACGGTATCCTGTCGAGCCATTTCTGAATTGTCATAGAATCATAGAATTAAGCCAATTGGCCTATCGTGTCCATGCCAGCTTTTTGAAAGAACTGTCCAAATTAATCCCACTGTCCCCATAGCCGTGCAACTTTGTCCTCCCCAAATATCTATCTACTTCTCTCTTGAATGTTGTTATCGAATCAGTTCCCACCTCCCTTTCAGGCAATGCATTGCAGATCCAAACAACTGTCTTATTAAGCAATCCCAGTTGCACCATTGATTGTAGGCCATTGTTGTCAATATACCTTTCATGTGCAGGCAAAATTCCACAACCAACAATGAAGTGAATGAACACCTAGTCTGCAGGATTGTTGGTCATCTCTAACAAGCAAGCGTTCCCCCCTCAGTATTGCACTGGAGCGACAACCTTAACTTTGAGTGTTAACGGGGAGGTTGAACTTGCAAGGTCTAAACCCAAGACTGCTACCAATGAGCTAGGCTGACCCAGACAGACACACACCCAGACTCCGAACCACTGCTGTCTGCGACTACTTGACTTGGTTTTGTACAGCGTGGGGGGAATATAGTATAACGTTTGGGGATTTATCACAAACCACAATTTATACACATTAAAGTGCCGTTATACCCCACGCCTAATGTTAATTTTATTTATCATTTTAAATCCTCCACCAATATCACACATTTATTATCAGCACCTTCTCAAAACTCTTAGCTGCAAAGTATCAAGAAAATGGAGCGTGAGGATTTGTTCTGCCTGTTAATCCGTCGCAGGCACATCAGATTGGGTGCAGATTGTAACCAGCGCAGGACTCCGAGAGCGCTGCTGACTAAACTCAGAGAAGCAGCTGCAGCGATGGGGGAAGCGCACATAAAATTACAAATCAAAACAGATTTTTATTAATGTGCACTATTCTGGTGGCTGTTGTTGATTCTAAATGTCAGTGTGTCCTGGGGTTCAGAGCATGCAGAGTTTGAACAGGGCTGTTCCTGTATGGTCTGGCGCTGAAGTGTAGAGGAACTGAAAGGGCCTTTTTCCAGGTTAATCCTTAGTGGGTTTCGGAACTCATGCATTTAAACGTTTAACGACCGAGGGCAGCTGGTGAACATTAAACCTCAGTGTGTGTGGCACTGCTGGGTTTACCGTGCAGTCACAGAGGAAGCTGCTTCAGAATATACCAGTGGAGTTCATCCTCCTAGTTACCATCACAGACAACTAGGGATTCATTGAATGCAACAAAGAAACAAGCAGGTCATGCAACGTTGCCAACTTGAGGTACAAATGTAAAAAACAAAACTAGATATTCCCTCACCCCCTCCGCGATGACTCAGTTGGCACTGATGAGTAGACGGATGTGTAGCTGAGCCGTACAGAACAGCAAGGCCCCGGGTTCCAGTTACGCTCTGTGCTGAGTTCGCTTCAGTGCCCTACTTTGAAAAGGGAAAAAAATATACAGCCAGGATTCCCATTCCCGACTTCCAATGTCAACCCGTTATAAGGTGTGAGTGCAAGGTTACTTGGTGTGGGGTGTATGTGGATGTCGGGTGAGGTAAAACCAGACTCAATTGTTATGTTCCCCAGAGGCAACTGAGTCAACTCTCTTTACAGGTGAAAAATAACCTATTTTGAGGTACAAGAACCCAGGTGGGAGTTGAAGCCCAACAACATTTTTGCTTTCACTGGGGTCATGGTTCCATTGTTTCTGCTTGCCTGCTGGAACCTTGTCCCAATTTCTCATGTGTACTCACTGAGGGGGATTGGGTTGTTGGCAGAGAATCACAGCTCAATTCTGTCCCCACCGAACAGAGAACTGATACCCCGGTTGAAATCAGTAACGCAGCACAGACAAGAATTGAACCTGGGACCTCTAATGTAATGGTGAGTTTCAATATGCTGTCATTATTCTGTAATTCCTCTTCATTGCACAATAAACACATACTACGTGAGGTACAGCTGCTGAAATGCTGAAGGCAGAGAGAAAAATGAACATTTCACCAGTTACTCCAGTACCTTTCTCCAGTTGAGGTTGACCGCGCTCCAAATCCCGCTGCAAGAAACCGTCCATCTTCTTCAACATCTCAGACAGAATCCTGGCCATCGACTGAATGGTGGTGTCTTGACTGATGTGCATACTTTAGAAAATGAAGGCAGAGCTTTTCTTACATTTCCTTTGCAGATCTGAATCACAGCCGTTGCCACAATAAATCACACGGTTACGTTACCTGCTCAGTGCGCTTGTTAGTCACTCCAGTTGCTCAAGTTTGTCCTTTAAATTTGGAGCGTTTAAAGAATCCAAGCTCATCATCAGCTTCTTTAGGGTGTACTGGATCTCATCTGCAATTCAATGTGTTGAACATCGTAGATCATTAAAATATTTTGAAAGAGACATTAATCATTTCAGTGTGCACATTACAGCGGGTCACAATTTTGTGGCTTGCACTGATTCCCACAGATACTGGTAGAATAGCCCACACCTAACCCCACAATACTACTGGACGAAAGAGGAGTGAAAACAAATAAATCTTCCACTTACATCTCCACCCCTGCGCGAGAGTCAGGAAGTAGTAGCGAGGTCTACTGAATCTTCATGTCACATGGAGATGGACCAGAGGTAAATTACTTTGATTGTAACCTTCTGCCACAGCACCTCTCAATGACCATGTTTGTTCTAAGAATGAAATCCATAATTTTACACCATCTCAGTCCATTGGATGATCATTGGGTTCCAAAATTATTGGCAAATCGTAGTCACTCAACCCAACACCTGTTCCAAGATTACAATTTACTAACATCATCCCAATGACCTTATACTGCGCAGATGTTTAAATAACATTGACTGTTAAAGACAAACCCAAGGTATTAAACTGAACTGTTAAGACACCCATCCATCGTATAACACATTGACTGTTATAGGCAGACATACATGGTGTAATGCTGATTGTTACAGACACATGCGGTGTAACATGGTGACTGTCAAAGACTTGGATTAAACAATCTCATTGTACAGTTCAGGAGTGCAACGTTATATATCAGCTTCACAATGTCCCCAGCAGCAGAGCACCCTGGCTGGAGGCAATCTCTCCCACTGCTTCCATCAGCTACATTCACCTGCACATGTATGCACAGATCTGTATTAACACAAGCTACACATTTGCAGCTGACCTATAATCCTGAGAATTTCATAACACGGTTTCATTTATACAGAACCTTTCAAGTAAAGAAATGTTCTCAAAGTGCTTCACAGCTGAGATATGAAGTGAATGCTGTTAATATAGGCGACCATAATCTACAGCACTAACATCCCACAAGCAACAAGGAAACATCAAATGAGTTTGAACAAGTGTTGAGCTACACACCCAGGGGCACCCAGAGGAACATTTGCAACAGAGGCCCTGCAGAAGAACCCGAAACACATTTGGACTTGTACATTCTTTCCCAGAACGCAGAAGTGAATTGGCAGAAGATCAAGCAAATCGATCCAGTCCACTTTGTTTCTGGCCCCTGAAGTTGCTAAGGGTGTCAAATCAATGCAAGTCAGAGCCTGGATTGTCTCAAACAAGATTGATTTCAAAGGTAACATAATCAGGTCAATAGCAGAAGGACTCACCAAACTGGCCCTCAAAACTCCATTACACTAACTACCGGTGGGAGTGCTTGTTAGTGGAGATTTACTCCACCACTAAATCAAGCACAACTTATTTCCAAATACTTTGGGGAAATTGCTGGGAGGTGAATGAGGAAAACCTCAGGTTTTGGTCCCAGTTCTATAAACAGCTACCAGATGACTATTCCTGGGAGCCAACTTCAGCTCCCCATCAGAAAACGCTAAAGATGTGGGATCAAATTTAACTCGGTTGCCTTCTTCACTCCTGAATATGTTTTCCCACTGATGCCTGCCGCTTTTGTGCACGATTTCTAAGAAAATATATAGTGAGGGGCTGAGGATAAAAAGATAAAAAGGCACTAGATTGACAATAAAGTCTGATATACTGGAACACCAATTTTTTCCAATACAAGTATCAAAGGTTTATTTCTGACAACCCAGTCAGTTGGTTTCAGGTTACCTCAGTAAACGTTAGTTTACATTACATTACCTAATGTTACTAATCCCTCAGTCCCATAGAAAGTATTCAGTTTCCCGTAAGCAAAGACTTCCAGGCTAAGCATACACATGGCAATTTTGGCAGTTAAGATTGCTTTTCGTTTCCACCAAGAATCCATATGTCCAGACAGATTCTACGAGCAGAGTCACTGATGAGCATTGTCACACAGGAGGAATTAAATAGAAGAGTAGGAATATTAAAGGGTACGAGAGAATCCAACAGAGTGGGATTAGACTAGGTGGCTCAAATGGAGAAAGACCCCAGTGCAGACTTGAAAGGCGAAATGTTCTTTTTCTGTGTTTTATTTACAATACTCAACTACTTTGACATTTAAATACTTCAGAAGTGCTCCAAATGGATCCCTTTATCCCATAACTATGATTCCATGGTACTGAGAATATGTCTGCTGTAATATTATTTATTTTGTATCTAAATGCCACCTCAGGCAATTCATCCCACACTCTGACAAGCTTCCAGGAGAATACGGTTTTCCTATGTTCCCCCCTTGATTCCTACATAGAATCTTAAATTCATGCCTTCTTGTCCTCGAATCACTTACCTATGGAAATAATTACTCGCCATTCATTCTCTCAAACCCTTTCATTATCTTGAACACCTTAATCATAACATCCTTTAATCGTTTCTACTTCTCCAACAATCCCATGTCCCTCAATTTTGATCCCAAATCTTTTATTTGGCAGTTGAATGGGACATTTAATAAATTCAAAGAATTAAAGTGGAGGCTAGAATTCTTCACTTGAAATGTGGAATTCTCTAAATTATTTTAAAAGGGAATCAGACAGATGTTTGAAAAGTAGGAATATTGTGTGAAACACAAACACACAAAAGAGTGGGATTAGGAAAAGTAGTAAACAGCGAGGAGGATAGTAGCAGACTGCAAGACGAGATAGACAGATTGGTAAATTGGGCAGACACGTGGCAGATGAAGTTTAATGTGGAGAAATGCAAAGTGATCCATTTTGGTAGGAAGAATGAGGAGAGGTGATATAAGCTGATGGTACAATCTTAAAGTGGGTTAAGTCACAGAGAGACCTGGGGGTTCATAAAGTAAATCTTTGAAGGTGGCAGGACAGGTAGATAAAGCTGTTATAAAGCTTATGGGATACTAGACTTTATAAATAGGGGCATAAAATACAAAAGTCAGGAAGTTATGATGAAACTTTATAAAACACTGGTTACACCTCAGCTGGAGTACTGTGTTCAGTTCTGGGCCCCACACTTTAGGAAGGATGTCAAGGCATTGGAGAGGGTGCTAAGGAGATTTACCAGGATGGTACCAGGAATGATGGTACTTCAGTTATCAGGAGAGGCGAGAGAAGCTGGGGTTATTCTCCTTGGAGCAGAGAAGGTAAAGAGGAGACTTAATAGAAGTTTTCAAAATTATGAGGGGATTCGATAGGGTGAACAAGGAGAAACTATTTCCACTGGTGGGTGGGTCCGTAACCAGAGGACATTGATTTAAAATAGTTGTCAAAAGAAACAGAGGGGAGGTGAGAAGACAGTTTTTCACAGAGCGAGTTGTTCGGATCTGGAATGAATTGCCTAAAAGGGTGGTGGAAGCCACTTCAGTAACAACTTTTAAGAGAGTAGATAATTATTTGGGGAGGACAAGTTTGCAGGGCTATGGGGAGAGCGCGGGGTAGTGGGATTGAATTGGATAGTTCTTTTAAAAGAACCAGCACAGACACAATGAGCCGAATGGCCTCCTTCTATGCTATATAATTCTATGATTAGAGCAGGTGGCTTATGCAGAGAAAAACACTAGCACAGACTTGTTGAGTCAAATGGCCTTTCTGTGCTGTAACATTCAATGATTATTTAAGTATGTTTATGAGGATTTAAGGACTTTTAACTATAGTTTTATTGCAAGCACTGGAAGGGGGAGTAACCAACTAGTCTAGAAAAGGAAGAACTTCACAGGTCCCACGCATGGTCACTATTCAGTTTCCTGACTGCTTGTCCACAGAGAATGCAAACTTAATCTAAACCTATACCATAGCTGGATCCCATTTCTCGTTGGACTAGTTATTCTTTAATTCAGGCAAGTGAGGTGATGCATAGCCTTGTTGGCATTTTCATCCTTCTCAAACCAAGCAGAGAGTCAAGGATAGAGCTTTAAGCAGAGTATGCACATGGGGCAAAGAGGCATATTTAAATGCTTCAAAAAAGAATTGCTTGAACTTCAGTTAATCAAATGTGTTGAAGATTGCATGAATAAGCAGAATAAAGTACATTTTTTAAAAGCTCCACTGAAACAACTGCACTGATAATTTAATACTGAAAGTTAGTTTTAAAAATATACGATCTTTGTTTTTGATGCTGAAATCCTGTAGTCCTCAGAGGAGTAATAACAACTGATGACGTGATTTGATAAGTTTTTGTAGTTCCCCTTCAGTTACAGTAGATATTATAATATTCTTATAGTGTGTCAGCACCATCTGGTGGTACAGAAGCAGAACTGTAAAAAACACACATCCATAGAACCGCAGATATTTGAGGCACAAAGGAGGACATTTGGCCCATCCCGTCTGTGCTGGAAAGAACGCCTGAAAGTTCTCTGGACTAACGCCTGTTCCTGACCTCCAATCCTAACCCCACTTCACAAAATTACACAAGATCAAAGATTGATTTGGATGAAGAAGGCCCTTCTGCCCATTTGTTTTTAGTCAGCCAGATCTGCCCATCACCATGATTACACAAGATGGTTTGCTTCTCACCTCGAACTCTAATCTTCATGACCTTATAAAAGGACCTCCCTCTATTCTGTTCTACCACAATGGCCAAGTCCTATCCTGATCAATGGTTTGATGTCAAATGATTGGTCTTAATAATGTCTTTCTGACATTTCCCAAACATGTCTGCCTCAAAATTTGCCTTTGCCTTTTTGCCATCCTGTTCCCACTAGTTTTCCTTCCTAGAACTTTATAGTCTGGGATACATCATGCTGGAAGAGAAAAGGAGAAAAGATGAGATGAATAACTAGTATTTGTCAGGTGAAGTCAAGTTCATGTTTTAAAAGCCTTCAGGTTGTACAAAGAAGGACAAACACATAGATATCAGGAGTTCTACATTCTTGGGATCCTGAGAAAGAATAAGTTAGATGAGGAGATGGTGCAATGAGTCGAGATGTCAATAGAGTGAAGATAAAGTAATGCGACAATAGTACTGTATTGACAAAATAACGAAAAACACGAAGGGTGACAATGGACCGAGTAAGAAATTGAAAGCAGATGATTATTTAACTGATAGAAATATCCTTTCCCTTATCCTGAAGTTCAAGAGAGGTGCTAGGCTAGAAGAGTCTTCCTAGATGTTTGAGTTGAATAAAGCTCTGAACAGGTTTGTTGAACTATTCTATGGAGTTTACGGATGTCGAAGGGAGGAAATACTAACCCTTGCATTTGAAATTAGTGTTCAGTGGAAATTTATAGGATGGGACGCTGAAA